TGGGAGCTCAGCAAATTCCGACGGATATTTTCAAGCCGTTTGGTTGAATCAAGCAAAAGGGATCTTATCAATGCTGACGGTGAGAGGTTGTTAGGAAATCTAAGCACCGTTATCATGTACCCATCAGAGACAATGAGGTAGGGTAATCTTGAGTGTGAAGCAACAGAGAATCTCTGTCTTCTAAGGTCGCTTTCAGAAGCTGAAGAACCAAGAGACTGACTAGAGTCTTGACAAAAAGATTGCTGCTGTCTACAATAAAGACACATCAAAAAAGAAGAAGCAACTGTCATATGTAATAACCATGAACAGAATAGAGAAGGAGTAACTTACAAACGTTTAATAGCACTCACACTACTGTCCCACCAGGACCATTCAGAACTCTAACACTGTGTCTAGATTTTTGCAGGAGGAACACTCTGGATAACATTCTTTCTGTTTGCACGATGCAAGTATTTTGCTGCAGTTGTAACTTTTTTCATTTAAAGAAAAATAAAAATTGCTTTTGGTATTCTCTTATTATTTCGTTAAGAAGTAGTATATGCATTTTTTCCACAATTTGACTTTGAATTTCTCTATCATGCTTCCTTACCTACCTCCTATTGTGTATGACAAGTGCTTGAAGATGAAATTCCAAATAACTTATGTCATGTATAAAAAACAAAAAATCCCTCAAGATCGGAATCTTAGTAATTAAGAATCAGTTCAGACATTCAACAGAAATATTTTATATCAACACACAAGTCCTCTCTTACAAAAGAGGTCTTACAAAAGCTTCTCTTACAAAGAAATTATTCCTTTCCGAGGTCTAGAAAGCTGCGTTGTGCATGTACGCTCTTACTAGCCCCACAACACTTTGAAAGAATGCGTAAAATTACTGGGGTTTCTTTATTTCTTAATAGTCCAAAAGTTAGTAGACGATTTGAACACAAAGTAGCTTCATGCATTCTGTAAATAATCATAATTAAGGTACTTCAACATATTTCAGTTTCTGATTTTTCAACCAGACAATGTAAGGAGGTATTATAACGCATTTACACACTACCCAGCTTTAGTCACTCAGAGTTAATAGGACTTTTGTTTTTAAACATTAAAGTTTAGGTTCTATTTTGTTTTTTCTTGTTATTCTAGTTATAAACTTCCGATTGATAGTAAAAAGTGTTAGCAGAGTTCCTTCTATTCCCTCAAGCACCCAGCAGCATAACTTCAAAATTTAGATCTGGACTACACCAAAAAAAAAATTTTAAAAGCTAACCATTTTTTGTCCATGTAAATACGTTATTTACAAGATCAGATACAAAAACGTGATATAAAGCTCTAGAGGTAAAATTAAATCGCAAGCAGAGAAATACCACTGCATAAAAATAAATCTGCACTTTTAGTACTTCTCTAAGTTTAGCTTCTTCTTACATCATAAAAACATGCTATTTCTAATTACTACTAAATTCAAACACTTTTAAAAGAACAAATCGCTTCATTTATACTTACATTGTCACAATGCCAATATTCATCAGAACAAACCCATTACAAGAAATAGAAGAGAACTATGAATGAGAAATAGATATTGAGAAGACACATGAAAACTAAAGATTGAATCTGAACGATTAATTTTATGTAAAATTGTAAAGTATATGCTAGAAAGTATGGTATGATCATATGAAAAAAACATATAAACATTTTCAAACCCTTTACCTGTATGTTATGAGTAGATGAAATGGAATAAATTCTGCTGGTCCAAATTCTACAGAGCAGCCAGAAGTAATCAAGGTCAGCAGTTCATCCGTCCATGTCAATAAAATCAAAGATCCACGTTTCAACATGCAAGCGGATGAAATGGAATAAACTCTGCTGGTCCAAATTCTACAGAGCAACCAGAAGTAATCAAGGTCAGCAATTCACCCGTACATGTCAACAAAATCAAAGATCCACGTTTCAACATGCAAGCCAAGAAAAGGCTATCAGGAGTCCAGCTCATATCGCCAACCCAGTAAGATCTAAATTGGGCAGGAAACAGTATTGCACTCTGTCAAATTTCTGCATTAAAAGGTTAGGACAGTTAAAAAAAAACCAAACAAACACAAAACCCAAACAAAACAACACGAAAAAAACATACCCAAAACCAACAACAAACCACCAAAATCCCACAGCAGCAGCAGAAACAACATCAATTGCTGACCTGACAAACTTGGATGGGACTGTGCTATTCTTGCTACTGCAACCTTTAAGGCTACCGGAAACAGTTACAAAATTCAATGTGTTCAAAAACAGAATTTGAGTTGCCTAGAAAGAAAAAGTAAGCATAAGGAAAACATAAAACATTTGTCTCAAAATGTCATTATTGTAAAAAGCAATTTCTATTAGCAAGTTATGCATTACATTCAATGTACTAGAAACACTATCATACATGAAAGTGATGTTGCACTTCAATATTTATTTTTTAAAATTTCTATGCCTATTTCTACATTTGAAAAATAATTAAAGATTATTACATACTCAGTATATAATTCCATATTCTTTTTAAATAGAACCTGTTCTAAAATCTTCAAAATAATACAAGATCACTCTTCTGCAGTCTTGTTGGTGAATAACAAGTGGAGCTTGTTAATGGGACTGCATCATCCCATTCTGGTATGCTAAATAAGCTGGTCCCTATTCCCTGTCATCACTAGCACTACAAACTACATTAAGATTCGGCCTCCGAGTTGTTAGAAGGAATAACATCATGAAGTGGGAACATAACCTCCAATACAGGTTAGGCTGAGGCCTGACTCAGAATCACCCAGAATCTTTGCAGACACAATGCAGTAATTGAAATTAATTTCTTTAGTATTGTATTTCTTGGAGATTAGAAATGACAGAGGAGCTGACATGGATTTCTTAACTGAACAACAGCTTTAAAAAAAAAAATCACAAGTTGTGGCAGAATTTTTTTACCTATGGTTATCAACCTGAATATAATCACACGTAACAATAGGAATGCTGAAAAATCACTCCTAAAACTGCATTATTAAATCCTTGTTTCCACTTCATTCAAACTGAATTATTAGCTTAAATGGCGTACCGTCTATCATTCATACCTTTGGATCAGTTTGATTAACAGCTACTGCAAGTAGAAGCCCATCTCTCGCAAATGCACATAGCAAAGCTCCTCTTGACTTTATAGATGCACACCGAGGAACTAAATTAACAAGAGAACAAGCCTGCTGTACCCAGTGGATCTGGTATGGCAAAGAACTGAATACCAATAAAAAGGCAACAAAAGCAAGAGGGTACTCAGTTATGCTGAATGGGATGACTCATACAGAAAAAAGTCACGCAGGACAAAAACACTTAAGAGCACAAAAAATAAAAATCTGTTTTTCTACAAAAACTTTACAAATGAAAAATATTTTGCATTTACACAAGTTTAAAAATCGTGTCTGGGCACTGAGAATTATTTTTATGGGACAGGAATTCGGGCTATCTGTATAGAACATGCAAACCATGGGCCATATAATAAAGGCACTTGCATCCTAGCCAGGAACAGCTTCCTCAGACAGCGTAACATCATCCAACACAGGAATACTAAGAAAATCAACAGTACACTGTGCTAAAAAAAGCGTTGTGGATGCCCCATCATCAGAAGTGTTCAAAGTCAGGTGGGGTTGGGCTGCCAGCAACCCGATCTAGCGAAAGTTGCTCCTACCCATGGCAGGGGGGTTGGACTGGACAATCGCTAAAGGTCCCTTCCAACCCAAACCAAGAAAGATTTCATTTGAAAGCATGCCACCTCCCGGAAAAAAAAAAAGCATAGTATATGGGGAGGTTAAAAGATGGAATTTTGGTCTGTGGATGGACACTGGGTGAGAAGTAGATAACCGAGAAAACCGCAGTGGAGGGGTTAACAGATGGAATTTTGGTCTGCTCGAAAACTGCAGTTAGTGAGTGAGAAATAGATACTAGGCTGGGTGAGAGAAAACAGCCCACAGAGAGAAGAAAGTTGATCAAGGCTAGGGGAGGATGTGGAGTAATGCAGTAATGGAGGAATATAAAGCACAATT